TGTGGTGTAACTACCCAGCAGGTGAAATTCTCTCCTTATGTCTCTCTGGACATTCCTCTGGAAAGATTCAGATGATGTCTCACCCTATTGTTTGTGGGACTGTGCCACTCATGGTTTGATAGCCAGCAATGATTCCTCCTCCTGCCAGCCTCATCTCCAGTCCAAGGAGTCCCGAATTCATCTTTCCTGAGCTGTAACTTTGCTGTAACTTTGCTCATCCCTGTTGCCCTGATGGAATCTTCTTAGGCTGCAACATGCTCCTTAATACTGGCTAACCAAACTGCGCTGGTATTGGTGGTAGCTGGATAAACACAGAATGATGTGCTCTACTTTGTTCCTATCTCTTTCCCCATGATCTCTACTGTGATTTGCTTTTTTGACTGCCAAAGCAAATGAAGTTTATTGCTTCATTATTTAAAGTCTGTTTCAGTGCTGATGGTAATGGTCAATAGAGGATTGAAAGGTAGACAGAGGGATGACAAATCCACATTTCTCAATAGCCTGGGAAATAGACTGCACACATTTGCTGTTTGTGTTCACTGTTAATTGCATATTTCATTTCAGTTAAAATATAAAATCAGACACTTACTCTTGAAGCAATCCAAATGGGATTATTAAAATGTTTTGGCCACTTTGGGAGCATGCAGTGACTCTGTATGACCAACAAGGTCTAAAGAAGGTGAAAGTACACTCAGAATGTTTTCTTTCCGACAGCTTTCACTCTTTCTATTTCTCAGTGCTTTAATTGGAGGAAAAGCAGAGATGTATTTTATAGGGTTGCAGATGCATGACACAATGGAAAAGAGGTTTGTTCAGATTTTGGGTTAAGTGTTTAATGAACGTGGGCAAATCTTCCCATTACTGCAGGAAAATAATTAGAAATTTTTTATTAAAAAACCAACCCTCTAAAACCTTTTACAAGATCTCTGATGGCATGTGTCAGATGACTGCCAGGTTGATGATTGAGCACAAGAGAAAGGTGAAAGTGGCAAACCCTGACTGCTTGGCCACAACAGGTCACATCTTCACTGGGACAGGCAGGGCTTGGAAATTTGGGAACAAGGAATTCATTCAGGTATCAGGCAGTAGCATGACTCCCTCTCCTCCTGGATTTGAATGCAAGCCGAGAGACAGGTTCCACATTTCTGAGTTTCTAGAAAAGCAAAGCCAGAGGACTTAGACTGCAGGCTTTTTTTTCTTTTTTTTTTGGTATTCCTAGGTAGGAACTATCCTGGCTGTTTCACCAGTGTGGCACTTGACATATCCAAAACACAACCCAGCTCACGCCCTCAAATTCTTCCTTGAAAACTTTACAAGCTTCAGAAATGTGATGGCTACTCAGGGAACAGAAGTGGTTTGTTCAGACAATAGTGTTGCTAATGAGGATGGTGTTTGCAACCCTGGAAACCGTACAGGAAAAAGGAAACAAAATGTATCTGCATAGATGGCACAACATTAATGAGAAAGGAGTATGTGTATCCTGTAAATCAAGCAGGAGATTTTAAAAACTTGCTTCCTTTTAATCAGAATGCTGTGAGGGAGCAATGGCTAGCAAGAAGCACTGCAAACTCCTATGTTCCTCCAGATTACTGTTCAGTCTTCAAGTTTCTTTATTTCCTTGGCTTCATCTGGCTCAAATATTTTTGTTTGAAGATGATGGTGCTCAGGTAGGTTCTTTCAGGCCATACTTTCAGGTTGGGATGAATCTGTGTGACTGTGATAGAGACAAAAGAGGGCTGGGTCTTCAAGTGCATCCTCTCCCTCTCCAATAAACCCCCTCTCCCTTTCCAAGGCCTCTGATGTTCAGTGTAGTTTGTCTAAGGTGGGAACACCAGGATGGGTGTTGCAGGAGGAATTGTCTGTGTGACTGCACAAGCAATATATTCCATGTATATATGGAATGGGGGAGCTGAGATGCTCGCATTGACTTTGGTGCACATTGGCCTGCTGAAGGGCGATGCCTGTGGAACTTAGATCAAATTTACAAGGTGCTTATATAGCTTGAGTTATAAGATATCAATATAACCTGATATATCTACATAACCTGATATCAGTATAACCTAAATAATGACTTTTTATATATCTATATAACCTGATACTTATATAACCTGAATCATAACTTTTTATACCTGTATAACCTGAATCATGACTTTCATACCTACCTAACCTGATATAAATAACTTTTTATGCAATGTAATGGCTAGTATAAGGTTAAATAGTTGCTTAATGCTGAATAGAGAAAAAAAAAAAAACAACTCACCAGGTGGATAGCTTTAGAAATAGAAAAGTGTGGTACTACCGAGAAATTGGCAAGTGCAAAGCCAACTAGCCACAAAACAAAGAATTTGGTTAGGGCCAGACAGACCGAGGAACAATGTAACTGCACATGCTCTGAAGACAAAGTTGAAAAGCTCAGATGTGAATATGACCTTGGAAGCCTTCATCAAAGGCCCCTGACAACCCCCCAAGTGGGGAGGCACAAGTGCAGTACAAAAGAACTATTTACAACCATGAGATCATACTATGTAAATTGGTTCTGGCACATATGTGATGATGTTGTAGTGACATAGTGACACTGAGCAACGCTTATTGTACAAACAAACCACAGCACAAGACAAAGGTGGGTGAGTTAGGAGCAGAAATCCCCCTCACCACCAGGGCTGCAATAAATGAATACCTGCTCTGTAGACCTCGGTCTGTGGGGATTTATTTCTATCCTTTTGGGCATCAAGGGTATGAAATGCTGCTGGAGTCTGGAACAACTGGGTCTTCCAAGATTGCAGGCAGCTTCTGTGGGGATATTCCTCTGCCAACCCCACCCCACATCCCCCTACCCCTTGCCAACAGGGATGTCTGTAGAATTCATCCAGACTGAACGCTTGCTATTGGATGTGTAGGGGAAAGCACTGAGAGCCATCATGCTAAAATCAACCCCATGTTTGACTGCCCTTCCAGCTGACCAGCTCCTGCTGCAATGTGTGCCATCCCTTACATGCTCTAGTCTGGTAACAGCACACTGTCAAGAGCTCCAGATTTTTATCCCTCTGTATCCATTTTGGCTAGCTTCTAATAACCATATGAAATTTTGGTATCACTTCCAACATTTTAAAGAAGAGATAGAAGTTTTGTTGATTGATACTGATCCAAAGTAACACCTACATTTACTGTTTAGTAACCACTTAAGCAATGGTGAAAATTTAGTCTGTGTACTGACCAATTAACATGGACCTGTTGGTAAGATGGTACCTGTGGAGTAGAAAGAAGTAGGGAGACATTTTAAGCAGCAGGCAAATTTAATTCATGGGTTTCTGCAGGGAGACAATGAGACTTGCTCATCTTTCGTGGCCACTTCTACTGCAACCCTGCAGCCTTCACCTGGGCCAACTGAGAGGTCACAAAGAGTAGGAGGGCACTGTATTGGGGCTGCGTTTGCCTGTGACATGGTAGGAGAACTGAGCAACAGAAGCTGTCCTGGAAAACAAAATTTCTGGCCTTGTTAGGAAGAAAAAGTAACCCAAACCTTAAATTTCAAGCTTGTGCCATGCAGAAAGGTTTTAAGCTTTTAACATACCACACCCAACTATGGCTGGAAGATGAGCCGCTTGCTGCTCCTGTGTACAGAGCACTCTTGCAGGGAAGTTTTCTGCGCCCAGTTCTGAGGGGGGTCCCTGCACCCCACAGGAGACACCAGGGCAAAGTTGGAGGGACTCCCCTCCTCATTGCAGTGTCCTAGAGCCAGACTTGGGGCAGCAGTCAGTCTGCTCCACCGCTCCTGCAGGCCAGCTTGGGTTTGCTCAATGGTGGCTGTGCTGTGCTGCGCTATGCTGGGCAGCACTGTGGGATGGCCCAGGGCACAGCAAGACAGGCTGGCACTCCACAAGGGCAATTCCCACATTCCAGGCACCCCCAGGGGCATGAGCTGCACTGCGAGCTCTTGTGCTTTGCTGCCTGGGCACACTGGGGCTGGACAGCCCCACTGGGGAAAAGAGTAGCCAAGAGCCCACTGTGTCCCTGGCAGCATGGACACACCATGGACAGCATGGACACTCATGGCATGGACACACCATGGACAGCATGGACACACCATGGACAGCATGGACACTCACAGCATGGACACACCATGGACACCATGGACACACCATGGACAC